CCCTCCATATGTGCTGTGCAGCCCATTTCTGTCCACCTCTTTGGGGGCTCCACTGTTCTTTTCTAGCTCTTAGCCCCTTCCCTCTTTAGCTTATAAATAAGTTCATCGCAGCATTACTGATTACTTTTAAAAATGTGAAGCCATATAAATGTCCTCAAATCTGAAACTGGTTAAGTAACCGATATGGAATGATGTGAAAAATATTAGCTTTAAAAAGCAGACTTAACACTATTTTCGCAAAACATGCTATTTGATAAGAAAAAAAAATGTGTACGAAAGTAAGATTAGAAAGATGATACATAATATTGGCAATGTTTTCTCTAGGTGGTGGGAGTAGGATAATTTTCATTTTCTTTTTGCTTTTCTAAATTTTCCACAGTTAAATAAATACATATTTTAGATTGTTTTAAATAATGAACTTGTAAATACACATCTGTTCTTCTTTTTAAATTGCTCAGAAGTTGAATATAATTCCTTACTTCAAGAATGGGGATCATAAACCTTTTTTTCTAAGCTCTACTCCCATAGAAAGCAAGAGAGTCACGTACAGAAAGATTAAGTAGCTTCCTTAGAGAAAGAAATACATAGCATTTAACTCTCTGGTATTGAAGATTAAGGACACAGACTAAAATACTGTCTTCATGGTAGAGTTGGAAGGGATAATGCAGGTTTCTCAACTTTTCCATCCTGTTACAAGTTGAATTGTTTTCTCCTGGAATTCATATGCTGAAGCCCAAACCCCCAGTACTCAGAATGTGACTAAACTTGGAGAGAGGGCCTATACAGAGATAATTAAAGTAAAATAAGGTCATTAGGGTGGGCCCTACTCCAATCTGACTGATGTCCTTATAAGAAGAGATTAAGACACAGGAATGACCATGTGAAGACACAGGGAGAAGAGGGTCACCTACAAATCAAAGAGGCCTCAAAAGAAACTAGCCCTGCTGACACTGTGATCTTGGATTTCTAGCCTCCAGAACTGTGAGTAAATGAATTTCTGTTTAAGCCACCCAATCTGTACTTTGTTATGGCAGCCCTAACAAACTAATACACGCTCCTAACGACAGAGTGAGCTTCCTTGGAAACCCATCCAAGACACCCCCAAAGTGGCTTAGCGCACCCATGGAAGTTCCATGAAGCTTGATTTTGTAACAAATAAATATAAATTCATATCAGATAATTTCATTTAAGATATTTTACATTAATTTTCAAAAAGGAAAATAGTCAAACCCTACTCCCAACTACCTCCATTCCAAGGGATGGGCAATAGCCAGGTCATATATTCCCCAGCTGGGGTGATGGGTGCCAGGAAATTGGCTACTGGAATTTTCATTGGCTGATTACAACCTCTCTGGGCTTTGGTTTCCTCATCTGTACTATAGAGATTATAGTACAGATGTCCTACCCAGGACATCCCATTGAATGTTTGTGAAGACCAAAAGGTAATGATGGAAAATTTTCAGATTGGTATCCCTAATCTGCAGTAATGCCAACATGCTCAGGGTTGCTCCAGGGGAAAGAAAATGAAGAGAAAAAAAAAAGATTTGAATTTTGGGTTTAGGGACATTAGAGGGAAACTCCCGTTGTTCTAGATGTATTAATTGCTGTATTTCCTAATGGATACGCTTCTGGTAATTAAATCAAAATACAGTCACTGTCCCTCCCCACCCTCCCTTCCTTCCCCTTGGAGAATATTAACTGCAAAGCAAGAAAAAGGTTGTCAGAAGGCGACATCTTGTGGCCTTTGTGGTGTACTGCCCTTGGATATTTTGGGTGTTTCCAAGCTTCTGTCAAAAGGCTTAAAAGAGGCACCAAGCAATATTCTCCCCACACGACCCCTGCAACATACCCCAAACAGGCAGGTAAATAATTTGACATCATTAAAACCAATATATTTTATGTATTCCTTCAACCCATTTATTTAGTGAAGGCAAGAGAAATGGGACTTTCTATCAATGAAATCATGTAATTTCTTTGTGTTCAATACAAGGGTTTATTACATGTACTAATGAACATTATACTTTAAGTTATTTGGAGCTGTCTTTCATGTCAAATGTTTTTCTTTTCTTACTTCAGGGTAATTTTAGTTCTGTTATTAAGGAAGGAATACTCAGTCTTATTGAAATGTGTTTTAAAAAATTTAGGCTTTCTGGTCAGCAAAACATCATCACATACTTTCTAACATCTATTTTTTTGAATAATATCATTTCCAGTTGATAATAGCCCCCAAAATTCATATTTATTTGTCACAGGATTTTCAAATACATAATTTTTAACACAATTATGTTCGTTTAAAGTTATTTGCAAATAGTGTTCTCATTGGCAGTTTTCCTATAAAATATTGAATCAGGCTAACAGAAACAATGTTTAGATTTGCATGTATACCTCATAATATAACATGATCTGGGAGGTCAGACTAGGCTCCCCAGCTACCTGGTGGGATCATTGCAATAACTGTCCTCTCCATCAGTCAAATTTTGCATGACCGAACATAATGGAAATTCAGTTCCACACATCAAGCCCATGTTTTGTAGCGTTTGGTTCTAGAATCTTGAAAGAAATGACCTGACATTGCAGACATTGAACACTGTTCTATTTTATCTTTCATTTCAAATTCTGAATATAAACCAGATTCTGCAAAAGGAAATTGAGTTCCAGGGCAACTTACTTTTAAAATTACTTTATATTTTGAAAAATCAAATAACATGGGGGAATATTTTATATTTAATTTTCACAAATTTATAATCCAGAGAATTGTAAAACTAGACTTCCATGTTTTATGTTCTTGGTATGGTTGGCAAAAAATGTAGCAACATCATTTAATGGGCAGGGAGAGAAAATTCCTATGGGAAATTAAATGTCAAATCTTGATTATATCTTCATCATTTCTCTAGTATCTGTGGAGTTAGACTGTCTAGATTTGAATTCTAGCTCCATTATCACCAGATGTGTGACTCTGGACAAGTTACTTAACCTCTCTGTGCCTGAGTTTCTTCATCTGTATAACTGAGGGTAATCATAATACCTTCCCTGTAGTATTATTTCATGATTATTTGAGATAAACCACGTAAGTGCTTACACAGTGTCTGGCCCATAGAGAGTATTTAATAAGTGTTAGCTACTAGTATTAGTATGAGTTCTAGGAATCGTGAGTTCTTTGACCTATTAGGGACCTCCCAACATTCATTTGATCCAGGTCATTATCCAGACTTTCTTATTTCTATTCAAGATTCCATACCTAAATGCAGTAAAACATGTGCTTGACATGTGGTTACCCCTTGTGGGTATAGAGAATGGGGAAGGTGGTACACAGATTCTCCCTTCTTGGGGAGTGGGTGTTGCAGCAAGAAACTGGCGAGGGAAGGAATTAAATTTGGGGTTTTTTGACACTACCTCGATCATAGAATTTTCCCTTCCTCTCTCTTCTTTCCTCTTTCCTTCCATCCCTACCTTTTCTTCTTTCCTTTTTAGCCCATTGTCTCATCAATTTATCTATATAATCTCTTGTCTTTTAGAAACTGGGTTTTATTGAGTTTTCTTGAGACTATAGAGCATATGAGATTTGGCATTTACTTCTGTTTCCTGCAGGAAATCTTTTCTCAAAGTATGTTCAGCCTCAGCTTCTCATATGCTAGTTGTCTTTATGCTGCAGAATCTTAATAGACTCTGCATGGATTTTTTTTTTCCATGTCCAAGAAAAGGCATATTTTATTGAGGTATATACTCATGATGTGTGATTATATATGTGTGTGTGATTTTTATATTATATATGTGTGTATATATAATATACATATTTACATTTTTATATATGTATGTGTAAACATACATATATGTGTGTGATTATATGTATATGTGTATATATCACAGGCCTATAACCAGTGCTCAGATGAAGAACCAGAACACTACCAGCCCCTCGAAGTCCCCTCAGACCAACTTCCCCACCAAGGTAACCACTACTCTGATGTCTAATAGATTAGTTTTGCTTGTTTTTGAACTTTTTATCAATGGAATCTTACAGTACATCCTCTTTAATGTCTAGCTCCTTTCACTTTAGATGCTTTTAGATTTATTTGTATTGTTACATGTAGTTGTACTTTTTTGCATTTCCACTGCTGTATAATATTCCACTCTGTGAATATACTGCATCATATTTTTTTCTCTTCTACTGTTGATAGCAATTGGATATTTTCCAGTTTTTGCCAACCTGGTCATTTCTAAGCAGGAAATATATCCAGGGATGGCATTTCTCCCCAGAAGGGTGAGCATCTTCTATCTTGCTTCCCCTGCCCTGGGATGCTGGCAGAATCCTTCTGCTAGATGTTGGTGGCCTGAGTGCTCCAGGATTCAGTGGGCAGGGGTTGGAGGTGGTGACTCTGGGCAATGGGCAACTTGGGCAGAGTTTTGTCTCTGTATAGCTTCTTCCCTGTTGGTGGCCTGCCTGGACTCCAGTGTAGTAAGGGTTTCCCCTCTCACATTGACTGTCTGGGCCAGAGGCTGTTCAGACTGGGGTTTAGTGCCTCTGGCAACGCCACGAGTGAATCTCAGAGGTGTACAAATCTTTGAACAAAAAAAGAGTGTGCCCTAAGTCTCACCAAGTCTCTGGCTAGGAGTCTGGAAAATAATATCTGGAAGAAACAGAGGATGTGGTTGCTTCTGAGAAGGCTCCAGGTAGAAGGAAGACACAGTGTGAGCTGCTCAAAGTTGTCTTAACCATGTGCATATTTCCTAAATTTGTTGTTTATGGTGATAAAAGTCCATAATATAAAACTTACCATTTAAATGAACAAAAAAGATTGTGTTTTCATTTCAAGATAATCTAAAACGACTTAAATAGGCATATTCTGGGTCATCTGAATCCAGCTACTTGTGATGAGGCGGTTTAAGGAAGTAGTAAAGAGTGTGTGCTCCAGCCTGGGACCACCTGTGTTCAAACTCCAGCTCTATATTCCTGCCCTGTGACCCAGGACAGCACTCACCCTCTGTGCCTGTGTGTCTTTAGTTGCAAAAAGGTGGCAATAATCATTCCTACTCTAGGGTCCCTGTGAGATCTATGCCTGCACAGCAGTTAGCCTAGTGTTTACAGAGCATCAGTATTTGATTTGTGTGTATTATCGGGGTGGCCCCATGACTGTGAATGGCTCTTGAGAAAAAAAAGTAAAGGTGGATTGAACAGAGAATTGATGTGTTAGAGCCTAGTGAAGGCCAAATGATATCATGGCCTGCTGAATAAATGAAGTTTTCACAGTAGTTTAAATAAAGAAAAGCAGTGTGATAATTGAGTCATCACACTAGGCAGGCTGAATTCAAAGGAATGTGCCTGGGAGCAGTTGGCGCTGTGCTCCTGTCGTGAGCTGCACTTTATTTTTAAACAAAATCTCATTTATCCCATTAAATCAATGTTGTTAATATATTTTTTATTGGTTTTGTCATTTTGTTTGCATTTAATTTATAAATTTGTTTGGCTTTTATATGAAGGCTATAAGCATCTGTTTATAACTAGTTGGAATGTATTTAGGTAATTTTCTTTATAAAAACAATTTAAGTCAACGCCATGTCTTAAAAGATGTTCCTACAGTTTTCAAGTTTGAGGAACACTGCCTTGGATCTTTTGCACTGGAATTCAGATGGAGAAAAATCAAATGTGTTTCCTCTTGACACAGAGCTCTAACTCCCCATAAGTGCCAGAACTCTCCAGTCACAGGCTGGTGGACCAGAGCAGAAAGAGCAGCCATGACCTTGAGAGCAAAGACAACCGAGCTGATAGCTCTTCAGCATCACCAGAGCTGGCAGACGGGCAATTTCTCCATTTCACCCCACTTTAAAGCTGTGCGTGTGGACTTTATTTTGTGATTCAGGTGACCATGGAGTTGCTGGTCTTGCTTTCTAGTGTTTCTACCTTTTCATTCAGGATCTTTGAGATTTATGGCTCTATGGGATGAAATGTTTCCTGTTACTTATGTAACCTCAATATCAGCAAGGGTGACGATGCCCTGTGAGGTCTAGAGGGGGTTAATCCACACTTCCCTTTCCCTCCCATACCTGGCTTTGGAAAAGGACAGTCAATGCTTTTCCAAAACTTCTGTGCATTTCTGGGGAGCTGACTTGCCCACAGTCACCTGTAGCAACGCGTTCCTGCTTGTGCAGGGGACATATTTTCCCTGCTGCGTCTTGTGGTTGCTTCTTTTATTCCCAATTTGGCCTTCACCCAGACCTAAATAGGATCAGTCCCTTACTTTCATTTCCACCAAAACCCTTGAGACTTTTGCTTGTCTAGTAAATGAAGGTTTAGGGAGATTTTGCAAGGGGGATTGAAGTGAAGAGGAGGAGAGGGTTTACTTCTTAGAAACACGAATGACTTAAAATCGATTATCTGACATCTCTGTTTTAAAAGTCTTTTGGCCACACTGCTATGTTACTTGATCATTGTCCCCTTCTCTCTCATCTTTCTCTCTCCTTCCACTCCCAAATTTCTAGTCTTTTATAATAAAACTGTTGCCTTGTCTCTTTTTTAGCCTTGTCTTCAGAATCTCACCTTTCCCCCACAGAGTGTGTCAAGATATTAAGTTTCCTACTTAAGATGCATTCTGTTGTCAGGAGATGAGATGATTGCCAGCTGCCCCACTGCACTTATCGAAGCTGTTCACTTTTCAGTCTGCGCGTCTGGGAAAGAACAAGTATCACCTCAGTGATTAAAAGCACTTTCATTTACCTGAGCCCCTGGATGAGGTATCATATTCATTTTACAGATGTGGGGCCAGAAGCTCAGAGAGGTTGAGTGAATCATCCAAAGCCACACAACAGATAAGTTGAGGAGTAGAAATCTGTACCCAGGTCTGAAGATTATGAAGTACGACCCATGTCATCACACATAGACAGGTTGTGTGATGTCTCATTATTCAGGGATCTGAGGCCACATGAATCTTGGTTTAAATGATTAACATGCGACAACCTAGTTGACCTTGGAAGGAGCCATAGCAGCCCCAGCAGATATGTGTATCCTACATGAGTTAGACTGCCAGTTTCCTCCCTACTTCTTCCTCTTCCTTCTCTCTTTTGCTGGCCAGCTCCTGCTCATCTTCAGGTCTACATATAGGACTGGCTACCTAACCTGTGGGGCCCAGTACAAAATGACAATGCTAGACTCCTTGTTCAAAAGTTATTAAAAATTTCACAATAACAATAGCAGAGTATTAAGTCAAGTACGGGACTCTTGTAAGAGACTACACAAGTTAAACACCAGTGAAGCCAGCCCTTTATGGAGGTTAAAACCCCCAGGAAACATTCTTTGGCTCCCTATTCTAAGCGAGGTGCTTATTGCATGTTCTTGTCAATTGCTCTTTATGCGTCTGTCTCCCCATTGGTCTGCGAGCTTCTTGAGACTTGTGTCCTGTTTCCTGTTGTTCCCCTGGTGCCCAGCACAGGCCCTGACAAAGGCAGGGGTTCAGTGGATGCCCCCATTGGGAATTTGGGGATGTGAAACCTGGAGGAACCAGACAGTGAATTGTCATCTCCAGGCAAGACCCATCCACCCAGGACCATGCAAGGTCAGACCAGGTATGACCTAGGAGCCTGGGGGGACTTGCCAGGGGTTTCAGGCATGGGGTGGAAGTAGGGTAGGGAGTCAATTTTTCTTCAAGAGAGTGTATTAGTCATTTATTGGAAATGGTCTTTCTTTTCAGTCATAACTAAAGGAAAACAAAGAGAACCCTTTTAAAAAGAACAAAGTGCAACACGGCTCTCTGGGCTTCTCCTTTAGATTTCAGTTAGCACGAACCTGCTCCTTAAGGCCTAGCAGGGCACGGACGTGAGTGCTGACAGTATGAGGGTTTTCATCAACGCTTGGGGAGCTTCTCTCTTTCAGATATGCTAAGAGGAGAGGTCAGATGTCTTTATCAGTTGACTTGATATTCAGTGAGGAAATATTCTGAAGACCTCTCCAAGTGGAGAGACATCTCTATGCCATGGTGTCCCACCCTGCGGCTGTTCCTTCTCTCTGTGGTCTTGGGTTAGGTGTGAGGGGGCAGACTCAAGGAACAGGGCTGGGGTCTCAAAGCCACGCCATCTGGGTCCCATGTCCACCCCCTCAGAGCCTTGTGCTTGACCTTGGCTCCTGTCACTGGGCCTCAGTTTCCCCACCTATAAAACGAGAGTTTGGCCAAGACCTTTAAGGTCCTTCTTAGCTCTTATTTTCTGTGAGTCTAGGTCAAGTAGAGAAGGAAGACCAATCAGGATTCTAGTTCTGTTCTTGACTTTGCTATGATTCACTAGGTGACCTTGGGTAAGTTCCTCTTCCATGCTGCACGTTTCCCATCCTCGAGCATTCTATATCACATTAGAGGGCTACACAAAAGGTGACACGGAGCAGGGCTTTCTCAGGGTCAGGTTCACCACTGAGTATCCGGGACACTAGAAATCTCCAGCCTGGGACCAATCTTCCAATGAGGTCTGAGTCCAGAACCCCTGTTACTGGGAACTGCACCCAGTCACGTGGCCTGCTTTGACCACCTTGCCCTTGCTTAGTCTTCCAGACCCAGTAACCAATACGGACACACCTTGGGCAAAATATTTAATTCTGCCAAAGCCTCACTGCAGCCTGATCTGTGCCAGGGGAGGGGGCCTGATGCTGGATGTGACATTGAGGAAGCGGATGGGACCCCATACTCAGGGAGCTCATGGTCAAGGGTGGGGAGGAGAGGCCAGCGTGAGCATGTACCCAGTGCCGTGAAGGAGGGATAACATCCTCAGCACAGAAAATAGGAGGGGAGGATTTCATGTTGGAGGATCTAGGAGGGTGTTTTGGATGGGACCTTGAAGGATGGGGAAGATTTGAGAGGGAGCTGCAGGCTGAGCACACACTGTGGTAGAGGAAGTGCCAACAGTCTGTAGGGTCCAAGGAGAGGCAGGTGATGAGGCTGGAAAGGAACATGGGGCCAAATCTCACAGGCT